GGTCCATATATTCCGCCATAAAAACAAAACAAAACAAAAAACCCTCACTAGTAACAAAGACTAAAAAAGTAAAAAATTGAACATATTAGTTAAATCAAGAATAACAGCAACTGAAAATCACAATCAACCCAAGGCAGAATCTTGATGCACTGATAACAAAGACCCTTCCTCCATACAGTGGGAAGGCCAATTATCTGCCCGCACATGCGCACATGCAATGGGAGTTTTGCAATGTTTACAAGTATTGCATGGGAGCAAGCTATCTTAGTGGAATACTCAACATACTCTAGAATTCTCTAGTGGAATACTCAGCAAAACAAAAATGTGAGTACCTAATTTTAGAAAACTTTCATAAACTCACTTATTTACTAGAAAGTAATAGTGAAAATCCAGGAACTCTAGAATTAAAGTGTCTTGCCTTGTCTGATTAATTCATTGGGTGCCCATCAGATGGATTCTTTCAGACCTTAAGTGGACCATGCAGTATACCTTGAAAAACATTGCAGGAAGACAGTCACCCAATCAGCTGTTAATTTTAGCTTCCTGTATGGCCTGACATAGCTAAGTGCTTGTAAGAAGGATATAAAAATATGAACCGGCCCTGATGAGCTTGCAATCTATTAGGTACTCAATAAATCGTTAGAAATCATATTAGAGATCAAAGTGATATATATCACTAGCTGGTATTGTTGGAAAGAATAAAATCTTTCTTGCATAGTGTTCAGAATAAATACAAATCCTTTTGACACTCTGGTCTCAAGATTTGTTTTACGGTATCAAAACTCAGTGACCTATATTAGCAAGTCACCCATAAACACCTGCAAGATAACCTGCAATAGAATGAGTCTGAGGTAATAAAACAGGCCCAAAGTCTGGGTTTTCAGTTTAGTTGCCTACAAGTGTAGATAAGCAGGAACCGTAATTCTATAATATGTGAGCTCAAGGCTCTGGGATATGTTCACTGGTTAAAATGTAGCTGTAAAACACTACACTATGAGATTTGATTCAGCTTTTTAAATCTTTTACACCTGCTCGAAAATACCTACCATAAAAGAAAATCAGATAGAGTGAATAATTCACAATATAAATGCTCTTGTGTGGGTGGGTGTTAAGTGGTGTTTGCCTCTGTCTCATTTTACATGGTGAAATCTGCAATTATAACATCGACTTCTTTCTAAAATGGCAAACCAAAGATTCTAAATCAGCAACAGACAGCTGTGGAGCTGATGGGAATTTGCTGGTTGCCTGGTAGCATCACCAAAAAAAAAAAAAATAGGTTTTCCCCCAAGTCTTTTCTTTGTCGTTGTCTTCCTTTTCTCTACATAGACTGTAAACAGATTGTAAATTTTGCAACACTACAGAACAGGATAGACAATTCAAGGCTATTTTTGCATTGCCCATCAGAACATACAGGTCTTGCTTTTCTACCAAAAACTGCTTAATGTCTGCACTTGATCTTGATGCGTATGACTTCATCTATTTTTCAGAGGAACTTGAAGGTTGGGAAATCAGAAAATGATAGTAGAGACCAGATAAATGGGTGCATTAATCATGTATTTTTTATTTTCTGTCTTAATGATGTTTTGACATTTTGGGGACCTTACACATCTGAGGAGAGCCCTTTCCAGCGGCAGCCAATTCCTAAAGATAGCTTACCCATGAACACAACTTCATGCACAAACCAACCAATCCTGAGCCTAAGTCCCTCAACCATCTCCCTTATCTAACTCTGACACACCAAGCCGGATTCCTCTCCTCTGAATCATCCCAGGGCCAGGTACCGGGCAACCAGAGACCACTCCTGTAATGAAAGCCAGCCAGAATTATTGAAACTCACCAATTTTAGCTGTTTCCTCTGCCCTAACTTGCCTTTTCTGCAGAAAACCCAATGAAGGTCTTGGCCTGTGCTTTCCTCTTGTTCCTGCCTCCTGACCAAACCTGGTGCTCCCCATGTGGCTCCGTGTGACCAGGTATGTCCACTTCCCTTGAGAATTGCAAGTAATAAATTCTTCTTTCAATACTATTAGCATCTCTATGTCATCACTGAGTCACCTCCACAAACAAAAATCCCATGGGCCCAGGTAAGACAAAGGAGTTTTGTAGTCCTTTTTAAGAACATAGCAGTTGGGCTTCCAATCTGGCCCAGGGGCCAATCCACTTTCATGAAAGTATCGTGAGTGGCTGTCACTCAGCCTGCGATGGGGACCAGGCATTCTCTCCTCACCTCTGCCTATCTCCCATGCGGCCCAGGAATGCATGGGGACGCACACTCTCTTGTTGACCTTCTATCATGAATGGAAGTCCAGAAAACTTGTGTGACCTCCTGAAGAAAGTCAGAATGCGTATCTAGCGTATCTATGGAGGTGAAGAGTGGAGCCACCACAGTAGCCACACTGATGATGATGACAGCCGTGAGCATGCATGGACTGAGTGCCCAGGTTCTGTGCCCAGGATGTCACATGCATCATCCCACAAGGCTGTGAGGTGAGGGCTGTCATTCTCCCATTATAGAGAATGCAGAGATGAAGGTCACTGGATGAAGGTCATGGATTTAGTAACTGGTGCTAAAAATTTAGTAACTGGGACTAGAGACACCAAATCTAAATCCGTAGCCTATGCTCTAATCCCCTACCCTACATGACATCTGTCAAAACTGAATGAGGCTCCTGCTCCCCATGATACAGAATTCAAGAGGACAATCTCTTTTATGCATGAAACGTCAGTCTGAAGACCTCAACCCCTAGTTGGCATCTCTCATTGGCTGGTAGATGGTGCCATGTTGCCTTCCAAACCAAACATAGTTTTGGTTGATATCCAGAAGTAGGGCCAGCTCCAGGCAATATTGCGCAACAGGCAATGCTCTTGATTTCTAGTGATTGCTCTTCTTGGAATCCAGTGCCCTCACTACCTCTGCAGCTGACCCAGATGACTCCACTCCCAACACGGTCTTCTGTAGGCTGGGCCTTCGGCCTCAAATTACTTCTCTGTATCACCAAACCCATCAGAATTTCCAATCCCTCTTTTTTATTTTATTATTTTATTTTAATTACATTTGTAGGGATGACATGGTTTAATAAAATTATATAGGCTTCAAGTGCATTCTCTCTTTCTCATGTAAATCCATGGAAGGCTATGGATTCCAATGGACCTGGCTTCTAATTCCGGCTGTACAGTTTTACCTGTGTGACCTCGATCCCTACTTTCCTAACCTGTAAAACTTCCATAGCGGCACAGATTACTTCAGCTTCTTTTTATTGATGATAAATTCATCTTATTATTTATTTAGATGTTTAAGCTCTCACACTAGATCTTTACCAGCTGGTGAACACTGAGAAATTATTTCTCCCACAGAACTGTAACCACACATTCCCAGACAGTATAAACATATGGTTGAACTAACAATACACATCACCACTGCATGAATTACTAATAATAAAACCAATTATCGAGTATCTGAATATTAAGTTATACAGCTCGAAAGGTCTATAAATATTAGGTATCTTCTCAATTCATTAGCAAAAACCCACTTCTTTTTCTTTTTCTTCTTTTGCAAGAGAGGATGGAAAAGAAAAAAATCTCACTTCAAACAAAAATAAGTTGGTAAACAACTTCAGAAAGTGTAAAATACAAGAATTTCAGTGTGTTTATGATTAAGAATTGTTTTAGTAATTTTAATAAAGTATTGCCACCTATAAAAATATGTATTATATAAAAGAGCATACTCTACATGTTCTGCACAAGGCAAAGGCAATATTTCACTAAAAATAATTAATACCCCCACCCTTTCTCCAATAAGTTGCATCCTCCCCCGCCCCATGCAAACATTAAAATCAACAGTGAGGCTTTTTTGGTCTGGAGACATTAAAGACATGTGCTTCTGTACAATGTAGATTTTCAGAACAGAGGCTTTTCATAACAGCATAAAATGAGATTTACAGAAAAACATTAAATAATCTCTAAGACTTGCCTAGCCGGTGTGGCTCAGTGGTTGAGCTTTGGCCCATGTACCAAGAGGTCACCAGTTTGATTCCTGGTCAAGGCACATGCCCAGGTTGTGGGCCCGATCCCCAGTGGGGGGCATGTAGGAGGTGGCTGATCGATGTTCTCTCTCATCGATGTTTCTGTCTCTCCCTCTTCCTTCCTCTCTCTCTAAAATTAATAAAGAAGAAAAATTGTTTTAAAAAATCTCTAAGACTTGATATACAAAAAAAGTTGAACAGACTGATGTATATTTGTATGAATGTGGAGATGTGAACATACTTTCTAGGTTTGAAATGACCGAAGGGCTAAACCACATAAGGTCTGGAGGGTTCAGAGTTCCTGGGATTTTAGCTCTGCATGACACTAAAAATGTACAAGTATTGTGCTGGGTATTTTGGCACATAATACTTTTTTGTGTATATTTTTAATATATATCTACATTTCTTATATATTGATAAAATTCTGGCATAGGAATAGATTTAAAGACATAACTCAATATTGCATGATTTCAGAAAAAGTCCATTGGTGCAAATAATAAGTACATTTTATTTTATTTTATTTTTTTATCCTCACCTGTGGACATTTCTCCATTTTTGTTCAGATAGAGTGAGAGAGAGAGAAACATCAATGTGAAAGGGACACAGAGAGTGGCTGCCTCCCGCACGACCCCAACCAAGGCCAGGGACGAATCGCAACCGAGGTACGTGCCCTTGACCGAAATCGAACCCATGACTCCTTGGTCCGTGGGCCGACGCTCTAACCACTGAGCCAAACCAGCCAGGGTATTATAAGGACATTTTAAATGCTGAACAGTACAAATTTTTTGCTAAGTGTCAAAATAAGTTGATCATAACCCAAAATAATTTGGCATTCTGTCAAACTTGTGGTCTGGTAAAACGGCTTTTCAATACTCTTACGCAGCATCCTTAGATTTATTCAACATGTTGGCTAACACGTATGACAAATTAGGTCTTGTCTGAAGTTCCACTTCCACGGCAATGACATCAGGCACCCCTGTTTTATTGAATGCAACAGTTGTTTCTGTGACCGTTGGAGTCTTTGAAGCGCATTTCAGGACAACAATTCTCCAAATACAAAAGTTGCTTGTTGTTTAAAGCCCCAGGCCATTTCTTCCTAACGAACTGTACTGCATCTCATATTTCATTCAGCCTTCTATCAACGCGAGGGCAGCTAGCCCCAGAGGTCTCCCAAGGCCCGCAGTACAATGAACAGCAGCCCAACAACCAAGTTCTTCCCGAAACTTAATTTTTACAAGACTCTACAGTCATCAACAGTCCGGTGGATGGTGGTGACTGTCATTAAAAGGCTGATCAAGACCATGGATGCCTTCTTTTTCCACAAGAGTCCTGTCATTAGTTGTTTCACATACTGTACTTCTTTTTTTTTTAATTAATTTTTTTCCATTATTGATTTGAGAGAGAGAGGAAGGGAGAGGAAGAGAGAGATAAAAACATTGATGAGAGAGAACATCGATTGGCTGCCTCCTGCATGCCCCTCCCTGTGGATCAGTCCCACACCCTGAGCATGTGTCCCAACCGGGAATTGAACCAGCAACCTCCTGGTGCAAGGGTCAATGCTCAACCACTGAGCCACACCAGCCGGACTCACATACTGTACTTCTTAAGTTTCTCTATACATTTGTTGAAGGTCACATTGGTTGGATTGTGTATAATGAGAAATCTCATGTTCCTGTACATGACTCCCACAGGAGCTGGGCAGTTCATTTGAGCCATGTTAATTTAGTTAAAAGACACTCACTAAAGCTATCAAAGAATTTAAAAATTGAATACAGAAATGATGCAAAAAAACCTGAGTCTACTTCAGTATACTCCACTTGAAACTTTCAGTGCTGTGGCATGAATTTGGAGTCATGGGAAATGAAATGAACCTTCTAACAAGAAGCAGCAATTCTTCAATCCAGTAATACTTATATTTCATATATAACAAGTAATGTAACATATATTCCAAGTAATAACACTTGTTTCTGGAGCCACAGAGGAGATCACCTCTTTACATTATGGACCAACTCAATGAAGATGGCTCTGGCTTGGCATATCCACTAGAATGCCAAAGAAATACAGGAATTCCTGATACAACTAGACAGTAGAATAAATGAAAATTAAACAATGAAGCAGAAAAGAGAATGCAGTGTACTTTACAATTTTGCCAAATGTTTGCAGCTTTCATGTGATAAAATTCTAGAAAGAGTTCTTTTAAATAAATTCAGCAGAAATGATACACTCTGACTCCACCATTGACTCTCCCCTTGTTCTCTAGATATATTGTTGCCACAATAATCACTGTTGCCTCCAAGTAACATCATGTAGCAGAGTCTAGTCACACACAGGAATTCCAGGCACTGTGACTGTGAATTCTAATCTCTCTGTGGTCACATATCGTTGAGTGACCTTGGGCAGGACACCTAAGTTCAACTAGCCATCTCAGATGCCTCACCAATAAAAACTTCCAGGAATTTACAGGATAAATTTTCAACTCCTAACATGCACAAGCTGCTGTCCAAATGCCTTTACAATGCTTAACTTGGGACCACCCAGGACAACCATGAAATTAGTCTTGTTCCCAGAATAATTCTCAGTTGTTGGTATGTTCTGACCACCATAGAAGCCTGTCTCTTTCTATTCCAATCACAATCATCTTTTAAAGAAGGCCAAATTTAAGTGAAAACTAAAAAGGCTGAAAATTTTGTCAAATTTTTGGAAAAAAGTTTAAGTCTAGAAAGATCTGATGTACATTGAACCACCATGATTCCTATAATATTAAATAGTAGAAATCAAGAAAAATTAATGCAAACTTTTAGCAAATAGTTTTGAGATATGTCTTATAATAGGATTGGTGCTATAATTCCTGTCCTGAATTTAATAGACAAGAAGGCTAATATTTTTGTTAATAATAATAACAAAGTAGTGACAGTTGTCATTTGTTATGCAAATATTATGTTTTAGGCAGTATGCTAAGAGCATTACATGCCATGCCCCTTAGCATGCGTTCAGCTGTGCCTCACTAAAATGGGCTTAAGCATTAAGGATCCTCTATCTCATAACCATTGGTGAGGAGAAGCTGGTCCCAGAGTTGGTGGATTGAGCAGCATAACATTACAAAGGACCCATCCTTCAACTCGGTCATTCCAGACACATGGGCAGCATCACCCCTGGTGTTTGCACAATGGCTGCTGATTCCAGGTGTCACACAGAGACTTCAACATCTAGAAAAGTAAAGTTCTTCCATATCGCTTTCTGCTGGTTAGGAAAATCCTACCCAGAAGGTCCCTACAAATTTCCCTCACATTCCATTGTCCAGGATCAAATCACTTACCCATACCTAAACCAACCAATGGCAAGGGGAGTGAGCCTGCCAATATACTTTCAGACCAATCACAATTCACCCCTGGCTACCTTCCTTGAACACATGGAATGGTGACCACCCTACCCAAACCATACTGGGCTCTGCAGGAGGAATGGGCTAGGAAATGGCAATTGAGTACATAGCAACAGTTTCTCCTGCACATATATTATCATTTTAATAAATCACCCTCTAAAGAGTTATTATCCTCATTTTACAGATGAGAAGTCAAGTTAACTGCCCACAGAGAAATCAAGTAAACTGACCACAGTCATACAGTTTGAAGTCAGAAAGTCCTGTATTCTTAATTTCCATATTTACGGTTCTGAAATTTCAGTGTATGTAAGAAACATCAGGAGAGTTTAGTAAAAATGTAGATTCCCACACCTCACACCCAGAGATTCTGATTCAATATTATAAAGAGCCTTGATTCTTCTTTTTTAACAAATAATCTCTGTTAATTTGGATGCAGATGGTCTACAAACATCATTTCATGAGAGAGCACAGGGTTAGCTATCATTTGGGCAAAATTCTAATTTAAAAAACAAAACAACCCTGATTTTCTGAAAGACACAGCCCACCATCTCCAAAAGCCAACCATCTTTCTTACCATAGTCATAGAAATACCACATTAAATTCTTTCTATGGTCTACACAAGTCAAGCCCTCTGTAGTGTCTGGGTCAGGCTCCCTGATTTAAGAAGGCTATAGATAAAAGATCCCAATGAGGGTAATGAGTTTCAAGGGGAATCTAAATAGATCTTCTAAGTAATTATTGTAGAATTTGGGAAGATTTAGGGTGGAAAATAGTCAACTTTTGGGGGTAGGAAAGGAGGAGAGGGGGGAGCCACCATAAATTTTAAATATTGGCTAGGCTGTCACATGTAATGGATGCTCAGAGGTAGAATTAATGATCAGAAATTGTGAGGAGGCTCATTTTGTTTTATTACGGGAAGAATCGTCTAATAAGTAACAGTGTGCAACAATGAAAAGGGCGCTCTGCCTCACAAAGCGTTCTGAACGCACTCAAGCAGAGGTTGGTGGACTGAGTGTCTGCTACCAGCATTGTAGAAGGGACTCCTCAATTGAAAGGAAGGCTCTGCCAATGGCTTGTAAGATGCACTGTGACCCTCCAATCACATCCTCTGCCAAATGACTCGTGTTAGTTTTTACCATGGTCATTTCTGCTGAACACCTTAGAATGCAATTTTATTTCTAATTTCATTTATGTTTTGATTTTATTAATGTTAATTTTATTAATATAATTAATATGCAAGTGTTTTATTAACACAATATATTAAGAGTAATATAATAATCTATATATTGATGTAATATAATTTCCATTTTAATTTCTAAATGTCCTGTTTTCCCAAGTTGATAGGACATGTCTGACTCATTTTTTTTTTTTTTTTTTTTTGAAGAACACTTATTTTTTTTTCTTTATTGATTTTAGAGAGAGGAAGGGAAAGGGAGAGAGAAACATCAATGAGAGAGAACATGGATTGGCCGCCTCCTGCATGCCCCCCACTGGGGATTGGGCCCACAACCTGGGCATGTGCCCTGACCGGGAACTGAACCAACGACCTCCTGGTGCATGGGTCAATACTCAACCACTGAACCACACCGGTAGGACTGTCCGACTCTTCTTTGTGTCTCTGTGGCATCTAACCCATAACCACATCCACCATAATACTTAATACACAGTTTACAAATGAAAGTAGCCTAGGATGGTAGGTAAACACAACACAAGATGAGTAGAAGAACATTTAGTACTTCTGCCCTGCTTGTTACTATCCTTCCTTCTTTTGAAACTACACGGGGTAGCTATATCTGCAACGTGTACTCTCCTCTCTGATCATCAGTGACTGGGCCAGAAGTTTACACACGATTCAAGCTGAGCCAGTGGGATGGGCCCTAGGATTTTAAGGCAGTCTTTTTGGGTAGCTGTACTTATAGCATGTGCACTAGAAGCATGGTCTACTGAAGAACAATGAAGCAGATGAGAGAAAGAGGAGTTCCCTGACTTTCCAACCACTGGATCCCAATTCTTCCCTGAGGCTCAGGTGCAAATATGTTCTTGGTCTCTGTGAGAAATCCTGTGTCTTTACAGAAAACCTTCTTCCCTTCCTCTCTTTCTCCCTTCTGCCCTTCTTTTCTTCCTTCTTTCAAATGTTATAGAAGCTGACTTTAATTGATTTCAATTCATTTCAACTAGAATTGAATACAATTAAATTTGCCTCTGGGTTTGTTGTTGAGGTAACTGATGAGAATACTCTGACAACGCCAAGAAAGCAAGGTCTTTGGAGATCTTAGGTGAAGAGAGAGGACCTAGACCTCTGCATGGTGCCAGATATTTTGAAGGGTCTGAGACTGTAGCTTCTGCAAGCTGATTTCTTTACCACTCCAACCTCCAGCCTGCAGGGACATCAGTGCTCCCATGAAGACTCCACCACCAGACCTCAGGGCTCCTTATGACAAAGATCCCCCCAGAAGGAACTAGGAGATGGAAACTAACCTAGTACCATGAGGCTCCAATGACAGGGGGCATATCTGGGGGGATCTACAACCCCCTGATGCCATGAAAAGTTTCTCCATAAAGCATTTTGGGTCTACATAAGACAAATCACATTTATCAGAGAGTATTCACGCAACCTTTGAACTTCAATTTTGTGACAAAGCCCTTTCCCAATATGCGTGTGTTTCTCTCACTTTGTACCTTATGGCTGTGAGCAGAGCATGTTGACCGGCACTTTCACATACTTATTGCAAAACTGCCTGAATAAACCCAAGTGACCCTTTTCCAAAACCGCTAATTTTCTTTTATTTTAAATCCTCACCGGAGGATATTTTTCCATTTATTTTCAAAAGAGTGAGGATTAGAGAGAGAGATACATGGATGTGAGAGAGACACATGATCGTTTGCCTCCTGCACGACCCCGACAAGGACCATCCACCGAACCGCAACCGAGGTACGTGCCCTTGACCGGAATGGAACCTACGACTCTTTGGTCTGCAAGTGACACTCGAACCACTGAACAAAACTGGCCGGGGCCCAAACCGCCTATTTTAATCTTAGATAAAGAGCAGCCCTGGCCCTGGCCGGTTTGGCTCAATGGTTAGAGCATCAGCCTGTGGTCCCGAGAGACCCGGGTTCGGTTCCCGCTAAGGGCATGTACCTCAGTTGCAGTTTGTCCCTGGCCCTGGTTGGGTTGTGTGGGTGGCAACCACTCGATGTGTCCCTTTCACGTCGATGTTTCTCTCTCTCTCTGTTCCTCTCTCTCTATCTGAACAAAATATAAAAAAAAAAAAAAAATGTCCTCGGGTGAGGATAAAAAAAGAGCAGCCCTGGCAAGTGAGGGGCAGGCGGAGATGAACAGCGGTGGAGTAGGCAGGGAAATGACTGTGAATATTGCATTTTTCTCTCTTGCAATTAAAATACCTTTTGTGGGGGCCAAAAGTGGCAAAGTATTAACTCAGGGCGCTAAGAAGGACCTGCTTCTTTCCCGCTTCCCTGTTCAGAGCCCCGACTAGCACACCTTTCCGGAAACACTCAGAGGCCCTCTCCACGGGTCCTTCCATCCTCCTTGCAGCCTGCTGATCCTTGCTTCTCCCCATGCATAACGTTCACCTGTGCTGAGTCTTTCCCGCTTCTCTCAGGAAAGGAATCAGGGTTCAAGGATTCTTAGACATTACAGAATATTTCTCTGATGTGTATAGTATAAGAAATAAAAGCCTAAAGACTCTGAACTACAAAAGTAGAATAATGGAAGCCAACTCAGCTTCTTATTCCAAATCTAAACAGAAGTGTTATTTGGCAAAAGTGCCTACTCAGACCTGTGGCCAGGTCAGCATCCACAAAGCGGTAAGGAGGCATAATTCTGTAAGAATGAGCACCGGCATCACAAGAGACATTGACAACTTTCCCTTGGCAAATAACAGAACAAACAAAAATTTCCCCCATGTGCTCATTGGTGCTTGATATTTCTTTGATATAAATTAAATATTTTGGAGAAAGCTACTATATAATTACAAAATTTTGGTTAAAACAGTTTTTTTTTGTTTGTTTGTTTGCAATTAGGCAATAGATAGCAAAATTTCCCTAAACATGCATACTCTTTGATCTCACAATTCCACTTCCAGGAATTTATTTCCAATAAATAATCAGAAATGTGTACAAAGATATATGTATTTCAAACTTCATTATAACTTTAAAATATGTTTATAATGTAAATCTTCAAACATACAAAAGTAAAGAGAATAATGTAATGACCCGCCATGTATCTATCTCCCAAATTTATTGTTTATCAACACTTTGCCCAGTTTTTGTTTTATTTATCCCATTGTTATTTTTGCTGACATGTTTTAAAGCAAATACCAGCCCTCCTGTCATTTGACTCTTAAATACATCAGTTTGAATCACTAAAAATATAAGGATTTTTAAAATGAACATTATCCTCACATCGTTCTTTTACCATCCAAGTTGTCAATAATTTCTTAATGTCATCTAATACGCCTCCATGTGTAATTTCAAAACATCAAAAATTACTCGTACAGTTTATTTAAATCTGGATCCAAAATGTTCCATATATTGGACTTAATTGTTATTTCTCTTAAATCTCTGTAATCTATAACAATGTCTTTGCTTTTCATTTTGCTATTTATTTGTTGCAAACAATCAGGTCATTTTGACCTGTAAAATTTCTCATATTCTGGATTTGACCGATTGTGTTTTTCTTGTGTCATTCAGTATGTTCCTCTGTCCCCTGTAAACTGGCAGCTAGAGCTACAGTCTTGATTGAATTCAGGTTCTTTGGGGAAAATGGCAAGAATGCTTTATAGGTGGCTGCGTGTGCTTTAAAGTAAACCACATCAATACACGTAAGGCCTGTTCACCCCCCTTTAGTGATGTTTACATTGCTTCAGGGATCCCAATGTTCTCAGTCTAATCCCTTAACTTTACATTTTCTCATAAACCTGCTGGTTTTAGCAGTGACCTGACAATCATTGCCTAGATCTATTATTTGACCAGAGATTTAAAAACGGTGATGTTGCGCCCTGGCCGGTTTGGCTCAGCGGTTAGAGCGTCCGCCTGCGGTCCGGAGAGACCCGGGTTCGGTTCCCGCTAAGGTAACGTACCTCAGTTGCAGTTTGTCCCCGGCCCTGGTTGGTCGTGCTGGTGGCAGCCACTCGATGTGTCCCTTTCACATCGATGTTTCCCTCTCTCTCTCCTTCCTCTCTGTCCCTCCCACTCTGTCTGTACAAAAAATGGAAAAATGTCCTCGGATGAGGACTAAAAAAAAAGGTGATGTTGTAATTTTATAATACCAAATTGTCTTATCAGATCTGTTTCTTCTATAATGAAGTAGCTTGTGCCCAGCACTCTGCTTTTTATTTTTAAAAATCTCAAGGTTGAAGGTTCCAAAATGGCGGCGGAGTGAGCGGAGCTACACAGACCGTCTCCCAGGACCAACCTGGAATCACAACTATAACACAGACAAATCGACAGGAAAAAGCAACAGAGAAGCAGCTTGCAAGGACCATATAACCAGGGACACTGATTCAATCTTGTTAGGATTGTGGAGGTGTGAGATGGGGGCTGGGAGCCCACAGACAGCAGCGGCCTCAGCTGGGAGCAGCGCCCTCGGGTCACACTCCCAGGCGGCTCCACAGCGCAGCCGGGACAGAGTCTGAAACAGCCACAGCCACTCACCTTGGGCTCCGGCGGAGGGAGGGCGGACTGGACTGGAGCTGTGTGGGAACACTCGGGATTTGGAGGAGGCTCAGAGCTCTTGCTGAATTGCAGCCACGCAGGACGGTGGCCACCTTGCTCCTTCCCAGGGAGCCCCTCCCTTGGAGATTCAACCCCACCCAGGTGAACCATTGAAATGCAAACTGAGGCTCACTAACTACCAGAATCTGCCCCACACTCAGGAAATCCCCTTACACTGGGCACCTGAGGGAGTTTTTCATTCAACTGACAACCCAAAACTCTTCAAGTAACCGCTACTGCTAGCCTCCAGGCAAAAAGCTAGAGGATAACTAAACCATTTCTGGGCTTGCAACTCTATCCAGGAAAGTAAGACTTGACAGTGGTGTTTAACATGGGTCCTCCCTCACTCATCAAAACCCAGGAGAGGGAGCCACAAACAGCAGAACACCAACACCCACAAGGAAAATTTGGCAGGCTCCAAAGCCCACCGTGATAGCCAAAGTGGTGAAACACAGAAACAAAAGCCAAATGAAAGAACAAGAGACCTCTACCGAAAATGAGATAAATGTGGAGCAGTTAGGCAAGTTAACAGAGCTAGAATTCAGAGCCATGAACTTGAGGAAGCTCAACAGCATGAGTAAGAACATAGAGATGTTGAAAATCAACCAATTGAAAATTAAAAACCACCAGGAAGAAATGAAGAATGACATATAAGAAATAAAGAACTCATTGGAAGGTCTAAACAGCAGAGTAAAGGAAACTGAGGACCGGATAAGTGAATTAGAAGATAGGGTAGAAAAAATCAAACAATCAGAAAACCAAAAGGAAAAAACAATTAAAAAACAGGAAGACAGCTTAAGAGAACTGTGGGACAACTGGAAATGTAATAATATTCGCATCACAGGCGTCCCCAAAGAAGAAAAAAATGAGCTAGAGTTAGAGAATATATTCGAAGAAATAGTGATAGAAAACTTCCCCAATTTGGTGAAGGAAGAAGGCATTCAAGTTCAAAAAGCACAGAGAGCCCCAAGTAAGAAGAACCAAAACAGGATCTCTTGCTGCAGCAACATGAGTGGGGTCCATTAACCTGATCAAGGAGCAAAGGCCGAGGACTGTTTTAAGAAAATGGCAGACAAGCCGGACATGGGGGAAGTCGCCAACTTCGATAAGGCCAAGCTGAAGAAGACGGAGATGCAGGAGAACAGCCTGCCGACCAAAGAGATCATAGAGCAGGAGAAGCAGAGTGACATTTCCTAAGAACCTGGAAGATTCCCCACCCCCGTCATATTTGGGATCCCAGTCGTGAGTGGAGAAAAAGCCACCCCACTTACAAGATGGACATGAGTGACAAACTGCACTGTGAACCCGGATACTCCGCGCCCATGCCATCAGCCTGTGGGTCTCTGAGGGGACCCCTCCATTCACCCCCAATTGGACTGCTAAATTCTCCCATTTGCCCTGAGATACTGTAGAAAATTATTTGCATGATTAATGAAAATAAAACACACCTCATGGCAAAAAAGAAAAGAAAAAAAAGAACCAAAACAGGCCCACACCAAGACACATAGTAATTAAAATGACAAAAATTAAAGACAAAAAGAGAATCCTAAAAGCAGCCAGAGATAAGCAACAGGTTACCTACAAAGGAAACCCCATAAGGCTCTCAGCTGACTTCTCACAAGAAACACTACAGGCCAGAAGGGAATGGCATGAAGAAATCAAGGTCATGAAAAACAAGGATCTGAATCCAAGACTACTCTGCCCAGCAAGGCTGTCATTCAAAATAGAAGGTCAAATAAAGAGCTTCCCAGACAAAAAAAAAAAAGCTAAGGGAATACATTAGCACCAAACTAGCACTGCAAGAAATGTTAAAAGGACCGCTGTAATTAGTAGAAGAAACAGGAAGAAAAATATAACCAAACTAAACAAAAATGGCAATAAATAAATACATATCAATAATCACCTTAAATGTAAATGGACTGAATGCTCCAATAAAAAGACACAGAGTAGCTGATTGGATAAGAAAGCATGGCTCATCGATATGTTGTTTACAAGAGACCCACCTCACAACAAAAGACTCACATAGATTGAAAGTGAAGGGATGGAAAAAATCTTCCAAGCAAACAGAAAGGAAAAAAAGCTGGGGTAGCAATACTCATATCTGATAAAATAGATTTCAAAATGAAGGCCATAACTAGAGACAAAGAAGGTCACTACCTAATATTGAAAGGATCTATCCAACAGGAAGATATAACCTTGATAAACATATATACACCCAATATAGCAGCACCAACATATATTAAAAATCTTCTGGAGGACTTCCAAGGAGAAATCGACAGCAATACAATCATAGGAGGGGACTTCAACACCCCGCTCACACCACTGGAAAGATCCTCTAGACAAAAAATTAGCAAGGAAACAGAGACTCTAAATGAAGCACTAGACCAAATGGATTTAACAGATATCTACAGAGAATTATACCCCCAAACTACAGAATTCACATTCTTCTCAAGTGCACATGGGACATTCTCAAAGATAGACCACATGTTAGGGCACAAACTAAGGCTCTACAAGTTCAAGAAGATTGAAATCATATCAAGCATCTTCTCAGATCACAATAACATGAAACTAGACATCAATTGCAACAAAAACATGCAAAGACATCTGAACACATGGAAGCTAAATAGCATGTTATTAAACAATGAATGGGTTACCATGGAGATCAAGGAAGAAATTAAGAACTTCCTGGAAACCAGTGAAAATGAACACACAACAACACAAAATCTATGGGATACAACAAAAGCAGTTCTGAGAGGGAAGTTCACAGCACTACAGGCCTACCTCAAGAAACAAGAAAATTTTCTAATTGACTGTCTAACCTCACAACTTAAAGAATTAGAAAGCAAACAAAAAGAAAACCCCTGAGCAAGTAGAAGGAAGGAAATAGTAAAGATCAGAGTAGAAATAAATGACATAAAGACCAAAAACAAACAATTCAAAGGATCAATGAAACAAAAAGCTGGTTTTTCAAAAAGATAAACAAGATTGATGGACCCTTAGGTAGACTCACCAAGAAACAAAGAGAGAGAACCCAAATGCACAAAATCAGAAATGAAAGAGGAGAAGTAACAACTGATACCGCAGAAATACAAAAGATTGTTAACAAATACTATGAACAATTATATGGCAACAAATTCAACAATCTTGGCAAAATGGACAAATTTCTAGAAACACACAGTCTCCCAAAATTGGACCAGGAAGAGATAGAAAACTTGAACAGACCAATAACAACTAAGGAAATTGAAGAGATGATCAAGAATCTCCCAACAAACAAAAGCCCAGGCCCGGATGGCTTCATGGGGGAGTTTTTTTCAAAAAAGAACTAACACCCATTCTCCTCAAACTATTTCAAAAAATTCAAGAAGAAGGAAGACTTCCAAACTTGTTTTATGAGACCAGCATAATTTTAATTCCAAAACCAGAAAAAGACACTACAAAGAAAGAAAACTACAGGCCAATATCCCTGATGAACATAGATGCCAATCCTGAACAAAATACTAGCAAATCAGATCCAGCAATACAGCAAAAAAATTATTCACCACGACCAAGTGGCATTCATTCCAGGGATGCAAGGCTGGTACAATATTTGTAAATCAATAAATGTGATACACCACATAAACAACACGAAGAATAAAAACCACATGATCATATCAATAGATACTGAAAAAGTGTTCGACAAAATCCAGCATCCATTTCTGTAAAAACACTCGGCAATGTGGAAATAGAGGGATCATATCTTGACATAATAAAGGCCATATATGAAAGACCTACAGCCAACATCATACTCAATGGGCAGAAACTAAAAGCATTTCCATTAAGAACAGGAATAAGACAGGGATGCCCACTTTCACCACTCTTATTTAACATAGTACTGGAAGTCTTAGCCACAGCAATCAGACATGAAGAAAAAATAAAAGGGATCCAAATTGGAAAGAAGGAAGTGAAACTGTCATTATTTGCAGATGACATGATATTATACATGGAAAACACTAAAGATGCCATCAAAAATCTACTAGACTTAATAAATGAATTTGGCAAAGTAGCAGGATACAAAATTAAGGTCAAGAAATCGACGGCATTCTTGTACACCAATGAGGAACTCACAGAAAGAGAAACTGAAAAAACAATCCCATTTACCATCACACCAAAAAAATTAAGATACCTAGGAATAAACTTAACCAAAGAGGTAAAGGACCTATTTGCAGAAAACTACAGGACATTGAAAAAAGAAATAGAGGAGGATATAAAAAGTGGAAGCACATACCTTGTTCATGGATTGGAAGAATTAACATCATTAAAATGTCCATACTACCCAAAGCAATCTATAGATTCAATGCAATCCCCATCAAAATACCAATGACCTATTTCACAGAACTAGAACAAATATTTCAAAAGTTCATATGGAACCAAAAAAACCCCAAATAGCCACAGCAATCTTGAAAAAGGACAAAGTAGGTGAGATCACAATACCAGATATCAGGTTATACTACAAAGCCACTGTAATCAAAACAGCCTGGTACTGGCAAAAGAACAGGCATATAGACCAGTGGAATAGAACAGAGAACCCAGAAATGGACCCAAGGCAATATGCTCAATTAATATTTGACAAAGGTGGCAAGAGCATACAGTGGAGTAAAGACAACCTCTTTAATAAATGGTGCTGGGAAAATTGGACAGCTACATGCAAAAAAATGAAACTAGACCATCAACTTACACCATACACAGGAATAAACTCAAAATGGATAAAAGACTTAAATGTGACCTGTGAATCCATATAAATTCTAGAAGAAAATGTAGGCAATGAAATTTCGGACATCATACGCAGCAGAATTTTCTCTGATACATCACCTAAGGCAACAGAAACAAAGGGAAAAATGAACACATGGCACTACATCAAACTCAAAAGCTTCTTCACAGCAAAAGAAACAACCATCAAAATGGAAAGGCAACCCACTGTATGGGAGAACATCATTGCCAATGATACATCAGATAAGGGGTTAATTTCCAAAATATATAGAGTACTCATACAACTCAACAAAAGGAAGACAAAGAACCCAATTAAAAAATGGGCAGAGGAGCTGAATAGACACCTCTCCAAACAGGACATACAAATGGCTAAGAGACATATGAAGAAATGCTCAATATCACTAATCATCAGAGAGATGCAAATTAACACAACAATGAGGTATCACTTCACACCTGTCAGAATGGCCACCATCAACAAATCATCAAACAAGTGTTGGTGAGGGTGTGGAGAAAATGGGACTCTAGTGCACTGCTGGTGGGAATGCAGACTTGTGCAGCCCCTATGGAAAACACTATGGTGTTACCTCAAAAAATTAAAAATTGAACTTCCATTTGACCCAGTGATCCCACTTCTAGGAATATACCCTACGAAGCCTGAAACACCAATCAGAAAGAATATATGTACCCCCATGTTCATAGCAGATTATTTACAATAGCTAAGATCTGGAAACAGCCCAAGTGTCCATCAGTAGACTAATGGATAAAAAAAAGCTGTGGTACATATACACAATGGAGTAATATGCAGCTGTAAGAAAGAAACATCTCTTATCCTTTGAGACGACATGGAGAGACCTGAAAAGTATTATCCTCAGTGAAACAAGCCAAGCAGAAAAAGACAAATACCACATGATCTCACTTATTTATGGAATATAATGAACATAACAATCTGAGGAATAGAGTCAACCCAGAAACATGGAAGTAGGGTACAGACTGACAACCTTCAGAAGAGGAGGTAGTGGGGGGAGGGAAGAGATAAACCACAGAACTTATATGCATGTATGCATAACCAATGGACATGGACAACAAAGCCAGGGACGGGGCGGGGGGATGGGGAGGAGGGTGTCAATGGGGTAAAAAAAGGAAAAACATCTGTAACAAAAATAAAATTTAAATTAAAAAAAAAAATGTCAAGGTTGTCCTGACCGGTTTGGTTCAGCGGTTAGAGCATCATCCTGCAGTCCAGAGAGACTCGGGTTCAGTTCCTGCTAAGGGCATGTACCTCGGTTGCAGTTTGTCCCCGGTCCTGGTTGGGTCGTGCGGGTGGCAGCCGCTCGATGTGTGCCTTTTACATCGATGTTTCTCTCTCTCTCTCTTCCTCTCTCTCCCTCCTGCTCTGTCTGAACAAAAATGGAAAAAATGTCTTCGGGTGAGGATATAAAAATAAAAAATAT